GGTTCTGCCTGTCACTACTTGAGTCAATTTAGTGGAGACAGGGTTGAATCACATATGAGTGTTTATTCCAATACTGCCGGCATGGAAGGCATGGGAGAACAGCAGGTCATCCACAAAAATCTGCTCTGCATCCCTCCCCCGGCCCTCCATAAACCAATTGCTTATATGGAGTAGGACAAGGATTACACAGGGCAAGTAGGGATTACAGGCATGGGGAAGTGGGCTATGCAGGCTGGGGCAGGACTCCATTGTTTGGGCAACAAGGCTGTTAATCTTTCCATAATAGGCCGTTCTTGAGTGAGAATGATTCCAAGGTTGACTCCCAGGTCCCGGGAGTGTACAACTCCCAGCCAGGTCAGAATGACCTTTCTTTAACCAACACTGGGCAATCGTGGTTAACAGAGCATGATATTTCCCATAACCATAGCTAGTCCCCAACATTCTATTTTGTGCCCTAACAATAAGACCTAAGTATAGGGCCTAGCATAGGGCTGCAGTTCCCAATGTAAGAACAAAATTCACCCAGTAAGTTTATCTAATTGGCTTTATTAGCGATCTGTGAATTGGGCAGCATCCTATCTAGCAGCTAGAAGGGCACTCAGGTGAGGTGGAAGGTTTGAATAGGCAGAGAGAAGGTGGGAATAAGAAGTTAAAAGAGCAGACTCTTTCAGGCCAGGATACCTTCCCGTTTGGAGGTGGGCAGGGGTTCTTAGGGAGATACCTCCCAAGTGTGGATCAGGATTAAAATTCCACTCCTGGGGGAAGCTAAAACTGCAATTAGGTTAGCTACTAAGTTTTTGCTTGGTAACTGGCCTAGCAAAAATGACTCCATTTTGGACCCTTGCTTTCCCTTTTCCTCCTTCCTTCTGTTAATGAAAAAATAAACCCATTGAAACCTGTAAAGAATTTTAGTGAGTTTATTTGAGCCAAACTGTCAACATGTGCCGGGAAGCAGAACCTCAATGAATTGAGATAAGGTTCCAAAAAATGGCGTGTTACATCTGTATACGTTGCGATCTAAGGAGAGACATAGGTAGGTTTCATGAAATTCCTTGGTGATTAAGGAGGCGGGAGAAAGCAAAGCGGTGGGATTGGATAAAAAGTAAAATGATGGACACCTGCTTAGGTGGGTACAGAAACAATTAACATAATAATGAAGGAATTTGTGATATCTGTCCTGGCTCCCACCACTTCAGGTTGTGCCCCAGCAGCTCCAGAAAAAGAGAAGTTACAATTTACCCAGACATCTCACAGATATGTTATCTTAGAGGCAAAAAGGCAAATGGGCTCAAGAAAGATCTAAGTTGATCTTTGTCAGGAAAAATATCAGTCTAGGACATGATTACCCACTATAACCTGTTTGCAGTTAAATATTTAATTTTCAGACCACCTTTTGTGGTCTGAAATAGGTCTTTGAGTTTGGAAGACGGCCTCGCAGGCATCCCCTGAGCTTGTCAGGTCAGCATGTTGCTCCTTTCGTCCACACTTCCTATTTTAACACCTGCGCGACCCAACTCCTGGGCCGCTGCCTCGCCTTCCCCAGCCCTCCCGCCGGGGCACACTCCTCACCGCTGGGTCTACGCCCGGGGCACACGGAGGGCGAGCCGGGCCCCCTCGCCCCTCCGTGGACATCCCTCCCGCGCAGCCCGCGTGGAGCTCCCGGAAGGAAGCCGTCTCACCGGCCCCGCCACCAAAACTGGGCGAAGAGACAGATTCCTGTGAAGCTCTTCCACCCGGAGAGCGACAGGGCCACGGCCCGTGGGCCCCACAGGCTGGCGGAGCCCGGGGCCAGGCCCTCCTCCCCCTCCGTCCACCCGCCCGCCGGCGCCTTAGACTACGTTTCCCACAATCCACATCGGCCCGCCCCTTCCGGTGGCGGCAGCGGAAGCGGTGACTGGATCTGGCCAGGCCTCACACCGGCGGTCTCGGTCACCATGGAGGAGATAGGCATCCTGGTGGAGAAAGCTCAGGTCCGGGGGGTCTGGCTCGCGGGGACAGGGAGACACTGATCTGAGGGAGGTGCCGAGTGACCGCAGGGGTCCCGCCCGAGTCGGGGCGGTTTCGGGGCCCTCAGTGGCAAGTTTGGAGCCGTTCCGAGGCCTGGTGGCCCAGCGATGTTAGGCGGAGAGAAAGGCTCGGAAAGCGGGGCCAGGGGCTGAGTGACTTAGAGATCCAGCCGGCAGTGCCAATGGGCATTCGGGGCCGGCAGAGCTGGAGTGACGTGCGGGACTCGGCTGGGTGCTGGATGGTGCCCGAGGCCGGCCTGGGTGTGACTGATGTTCCGGCTTGACTGGCGGTGGAGGGCTAATCAAGAGCTGTGGTCTGGCCCACGGACATTTGGGGCCTAGCGGGGGGCTGGATGACATGACTAATTCATGTGAGTTGGGGCTCTGTGACACGAGGTGTCTTTGGGGGGTAACGGTAATTCCAGAACTATTTGAAGGCATGGTGAGTTAGCCTGTGTGAGAGCCATGTGACGTTAGGAACCTGTTGAGGGGGGCTGGAGGGCATTTGAGTCTGATAAGGAGTTGATGAGACATTTAGGCCCCAGTTGGGTGACACTGGGGACATGTTACAAGTGGCATATGGTAGCAGAATATCTGTTTGGGAGACTCGTTGACGTAAAGGTCCTACAAAGGTGATGGAAGTTTCCAGGTCTGTTTAGCGGGGCTGAATGATGTCAGGAGCCAGCTAGGGAATGAGAGACTTCATGGTCAAATCAGATTTTTTCATGCGGAGACTCTTCTTCCAACCTGTGTTTCCCACTGTGGTCTAGGATGAGATCCCAGCCCTGTCAGTGACCCGGCCCCAGACTGGCCTGTCCTTCCTGGGGCCTGAGCCTGAGGACCTGGAAGACCTGTATAGCCGCTACAAGGTACATTCAACCCCAACCCAGACCCTGCACAGGGCCCATGTCCAAATCTCCCGCCACCTTCCACTCCCTGGCTCAGCAAGGCCTAGAGCCATCCCCTCCCTCCTCTCCCCTTCCTGCTCACAGAAGCTGCAGCAAGAGCTGGAGTTCCTGGAAGTGCAGGAAGAGTACATCAAGGATGAGCAAAAGAACCTGAAGAAGGAATTCCTCCATGCCCAGGAGGAGGTGAAGCGAATCCAGAGCATCCCACTGGTTATCGGGCAGTTTCTGGAGGCCGTGGATCAGAACACAGCCATCGTGGGCTCCACCACAGGTATGGGGGGCGGAAATCCTCATTCACTGGCATGTGCCCGGAACTGCTAGGGTTGTACAACAGAAAACAAGGCAAGACAGTGTAATGGTGTTTTTCAGGGTATTTTGTTTGAGTCTGATGCAAACATGGAACTAGATTTTACATTCTTTCCCTCTGTATATGTGTAATTTATATAGTAAAAGTTTGACCAAATGATATGTAGCCTTATAATGAGTGACATACTCTAATTGCCTTTCCATCCTGTTCTAGTCTTTTATTTAAAACCATGTTCTGGTCATGACTCTCTGAATTGATTTCATGACCACTTCTGGGTTAGGACCTGCACTTTGAAACCATGGGTGAAATGGTAAGAGATTGGGTTCTGGAAGGACTCAGTATACAGTAGCTGCTGTTATTAACACAGGTCCAGGCCTTGCCTTCATAATGGTCGTTGTCTCTGTATCTTATTCGGCTTTACTTCTGGCCACTGCTCCTCTGAACCAAGCCATGTTCTTACGAAGGTTGTAGGGAAAAGTGTGATTGGGCCTGGAATTGGACTGATGGGCTGATAGTGAGGTAGTGAGGGAGGAAGAGACCCATAATGTGTCTTTGACCTTTGGATCTAGGGGGACAGTGAGGCTATCCCTGAAGTGGCAACATGGTCAGAGGAGTAGATTTAGGAGACAGTGAGTGCGGTCACAGGAAGGGCCTGGGTGGCTACTGGACAGCCAAGTCTGAAGATCGGGAGAAAGGTTGAGTCTGGAAAGAGATGTATACATCACCACCACCAATGTACAAAGTGGACTGGAGAGGTGAGAAAAGTCTGAGTGACAGGGAAGAGTCTGGTACAGAGATCTAGTTGGGAGGACTGAAACAGGGCAGGACCCAGAGAAAGAGAAGAGAGATGGTTAGAGGGTCATAGTGACTGATGGGCTAAAGAGGGAAGAGGAGAAAAGCTCAGGATGAAGCTTAGGGCTCTTGCTGGTGACTAGGGACTGGGGCTTGCCTGAGACAGATCCAGGAGAGAAGCACAGTTTTGTGGGGAGATGTGAACACATATGGACACAGTAGGTGAGAGATATACAAAGGAAATCGGGGGTGGGGCAGGGGAGGGGAGGGTTCCTAGGAGGTTGCTGGTCACGGGGTCTGTGTGAACATGGGGAACAAACTGAAGGAGGCAGGCTAGAGGTGGGGGAGCAGCCAGGGTATGAGTGAGAGATACTGGTGCCCTGGACAGCACAACTGTGAGGTCATGGGGAGAGGACAGTTCTGGCACTTCTCTTTTTCCCTTCTCCTTTTCCGTCTTTGTCCCACAGGCTCCAATTACTATGTGCGCATCCTGAGCACCATTGACCGGGAGCTGCTCAAGCCCAATGCCTCGGTGGCCCTCCACAAGCACAGCAACGCCCTGGTGGATGTGCTGCCCCCTGAAGCGGACAGCAGTATCATGATGCTCACCTCAGGTGAGGGGGGAGCCTGGGTGGGAGGCTGAGAGGACCCTGTGCACCAGGCTGGGGGTCCCAGCTCTGCTCTCCCACTAGACCAGAAGCCAGACGTGATGTATGCAGACATCGGGGGCATGGATATCCAGAAGCAGGAGGTGCGGGAGGCTGTGGAGCTCCCGCTTACACACTTTGAGCTCTACAAGCAGGTGAGGAACTGGAGGGTCAGGGAAGGAGGAAGCCCTCCAGGATTCCCTGGCTCATCCTTCCTTCTCCACGTCTGCATTTCAGATCGGTATTGATCCTCCCCGAGGCGTCCTTATGTACGGCCCACCCGGCTGCGGGAAGACCATGTTGGCAAAGGCCGTGGCTCATCACACCACTGGTGAGCTGCTGGTCCCTCCCTCAAACTCTGACCTTCTGGGCTTTTCCCATCTGTCTCTGGTCTCTCATCCTCCCCAGGAAATGGCACAGCACACTGATTTAGAGCACACGTTATTGTGCTTCTTAGTCATTGTTGTGCAGTCTTGGACAGGTGACTTTACCACATGCCTCAATTTCCTCATCTAACAGAAAACTCCACAGCATTAATGTGAAAATTAATAAGTCAGAGTTTTGTTATAGTGGGTGTGACCCATTAGGAATTCCAATTCATGGGTTGCAACCAGCATTTTAAACAATGAAACAGAACAGAAGATATAAGAGTTTATCCCATACTAGTGGCCCGGTGCACAAATTCATAATCACTCAGCCGGGCCTGTACCCTCTCCAATCTGGGACCCCTCAAGGGATGTCCGACTGCTGGTTAAGGCCAGATCCCATCTTGCAATGGGATATCTATATCACAATCCAGAACCTCTGGCTCCTAACCACTCACCTGCCTGATTGCGCCTAACCACTCTGCCTGATCACCCGTAACTCCCCCCCCCACCACCACCACCACCAACCTGATCACCTCCAACTATCTCCCCTGCTGGCCTGATCACCTCCAACTGCCCCTCCTGCCAGCCTGCCTGCCCCCACTGCCAGCCTGCTTGCCCCCAAATACCCCTGCCAGCCTGATCTCCCCTAATAGCCTCTGCTTCAGCCCTACCACCATGGCTTTGTCCAGAAGGATGTCTGGAAGGTCTCCTGGTCTAATCAGCATATTACTGTTTTATTAGTATAGATAGGAAGATGTCATACTGTTTTGAGAAACTTGTTTCACACACATGTGCACACACACATACATATAAGGTGTCCCCCAAAACTGTATGCACAGTTTGAATGATTATAAAGTCAGTGTTTATTAACGTACAGTCATTTACAAAATTGAAAAAATCTATAGAAATGCATATATATATATATATATATATATATTTTTTTTTTTTTTATTTATTTTTTTTTTTTTTTTTGGTCAATGTCCTGTTTTTAAACTGATGACTATTCTGGTCCAGGCACTACTGATAATGTGAACATCAAGAATCATTTCATTCAATATTTGTGTGCCCACAGTTCGTTGACTGTTGCTGGTTTCGTACCATAAATTTTATCTTTTATGTATCCCCCTCCCCCCCAACAAACAAACAAACAAAAACCAGTATAATGGCACCTTAGGATAAATTTTCTTTGTTCAAAGCTTAGTTTGGCTTCATCCATTATTTCAAATCGGTTAAATCTGAAAAGGAGTGAAAATTAAATGAGTTGTCAGCTGCTAAAGTGTGTATAAATTTTTTTGGACACTGTATATATTGTGGTTGTTTACAAATGTATTCCTGTAAGTTCCAGGCAGAATGTCTGGAAATCAATGTATTGCTATTTATAAAGCCTAAAGACAGGGCTCAGCACATCTTAAAATCTTCATACATGCGAGGCAGGCAGTGGTTTAGCAGTGGGTTTTTTGGACCAGACTGCTGGGTTTGAAATCTGGCTTCCCTATAGCTACTTATGTAAGCTAGTTTATGTAACTACTCAGTAAGTTAACCTCTTTGTGACTCCCATTTCCTATTTTCCTGGGTGGTTCAGAGGATGAAGTCAATATAAAGCTTCTAGAAGCTTACCTGGCATATAGTAAGTAGGCAGTGAATGTTAGCCATTATCAAGATTATTCATTTGCTTAGTAGTTCATTTGACTTCTGCTCTCCAATGCCTTGTGCTGGGATACGACAATGAGTCAGACTTGTCCCCTGCCTCAGAGAAGCTCCCAGCCATGCTGGAGAAAAAGAACTAAACACTTATAACTCAATCATTTAGTTAATATTGAGCACCTAATATGTGCTGAGCTGAGTGGTAGGTGCTGGAAACATGGCAGTGAACAGAGTAGAGTCTCCATTCCTCATGGTCATGGAGGTGGTGTCTTAGTTGGGGAAGCTCTTGAACAATTAAGTGAATAGGTTATGTCACGTGGTACTAAATTCATGAAGAGAACAGCTAACGGAATAAGGACAGAGAATGGGGGCTGCAACTTCACATTTTAACTTTAGGAAACAAATTAGAAAGGAGGGGCCCAGAACAAACCTGTTTTCAACCCCGTTGCTAGTTGTCTATGTCAGAAGATGGGCCTGTGGGCCCTTATTGCAAAGGGGAAGTCGGAGCCCATGGTGAGGAAGTATGATTCCTTTGTGTATGGCAACCTACCTGTTTTCTTACTGATCTTTCAAGTGCTCTAGAAATCAGATTTTTTTTTTTCCTGTGTCTTGGTCCATGCATATCTCTAGCTTTTCTCCATAGATACGTTGAGGCACAGATGCATTTGTTTTTATAATGTCCTGGTAGTTAAAAGTTGGACAAAAAAACAACACATCTGTGCACAGGGTTCATAACTTGTGCTACTGGGTGGTTATGGGATGCAAGCAGCTGGCTGGTCCTTGACGCTGGATCTGGGACCCAGTCCAGGGTAAGAGAATAACATGGCTACTTGGAGTGGGCATCCAAAGGAGGGGATTCCCAGTTTCAGTTAAAGCAGAATGGCCCTCCAAGAGGCCCATCCGCATCTAACCGTTGTCATCCTACTGTCAGCTGCATTTATCCGGGTCGTGGGCTCGGAGTTTGTACAGAAGTACCTGGGTGAGGGCCCCCGCATGGTCCGGGACGTGTTCCGCCTGGCCAAGGAGAACGCACCTGCCATCATCTTCATAGATGAGATCGATGCCATCGCCACCAAAAGATTTGATGCTCAGACAGGGGGTGAGTGTTACCCAAATAGGGTCTGTGGTCTTGGACAGGCCTGTCGTACATAGTACCCTGGACTAACTGTGTCGCATACTCCAGCTGACAGGGAGGTTCAGAGAATCCTGCTGGAGCTGCTAAATCAAATGGATGGATTCGACCAGAACGTCAATGTCAAGGTTCGGAGTTTGGGGTGAACAAGGGGAGGTGTGGTATGAGAGTGGGGAAGGTAGGGCTGGCATGTGAGGGGGCAGTTTTGGTGGGAAGGAGGGTGGTAGGGAGAGTGGTCTGAGCCAGCATGTTTCCAATGCCAGGTGATCATGGCTACGAACAGAGCAGACACCCTGGATCCTGCCCTGCTGCGGCCAGGACGCCTTGACCGTAAAATCGAATTCCCACTCCCTGACCGCCGCCAGAAGAGATTGATTTTCTCCACTATCACCAGCAAGATGAATCTCTCTGAGGAGGTTGACTTGGAAGATTGTATCCTGCTCTGGAAGTGAGGGAAGGGCCACAGTTCAGAATGGGGATTGGATCTTCACCTCCACCTCTGCCTTCACCATGACCCAGATTTACAGGGTGGGCACCAAAGTTCTGGAAGGGGTGGTGGTGACAGACAGCCCAACGATGAGATGACTTCCTGCTGCAGGCATTTGCCCCGTCATTCAGGGAATGGTTTCCTTAACTCTCGCTGCAGATGTGGCCAGGCCAGATAAGATTTCAGGAGCAGATATCAATTCTATCTGTCAGGAGGTGAGTGAGGCTTTTCTCTGGATCCAGGCTGGGAGGGAATGAAGATCCTTCCTCTTTCTAATCACTATTGCAATCCTGTCCCTTGTTTCCTCCCTGGGGTAGTGGGCCCTGCTGTCTCTTCCTCCACCATCACTGAGGTGGGGAGTGCGGGGAGTACAATTTAACTCTCCTCCCTTACAGAGTGGAATGCTAGCTGTCCGAGAGAACCGTTACATTGTTCTGGCGAAGGACTTCGAGAAAGCATACAAGACCGTCATCAAGAAAGATGAGCAGGAGCATGAGTTTTACAAGTGACCCCCCCAACCACAGGACCCGGGACTTCCCTCACCTGCCCAACCTCTGTCCCCAACCAGTCCTCTTTTCTCTTTACCCAAAGTTGATTTATTCAATAAATACACAAGTTGAGTCAATCTAGTTTCTTAGAATTTTAACTCCTTTAGTATCCTGGACCTTGAATAGGATCTTCTGTGCCCCTCCTGTTCTTCTGACAGATGAGTGGGTGAGGTAGGTGGCCTGCGCTACAGCTTAAGAAGCGAAGAACTCAAAATGACTTCAGAAACTTGGGGAAAGGGAAGAAAAGTGAACTTCAGATCACAGCCTTGACCACAAAGTAAAGCCCCGTACATCTTCCACCCCATTTCCTACAGGAAGAAGACCCTTTGAGTCTTTGGTGAGCCCTGCCTTCCTCACATTCAGGGAATACCAATGAAAGAGACAAGCCCAGAGTCTCCCTGAGCAGGGATGGAAGGATATAAGAGGGGAGGTTGATTGCCCAGGATCTGTGACTATCTCTGGTTCTCCATGTTGTCTTGTCAGGGACCAAATTCCCACTCAGGAGGTCTCTGTTCAGATACCCCTCCCTCTGGGCAGCCTTCCCTGGTGCCCAATTTGGGAAGGAGCCTTTCATCTGTACACCCCCGGCCCCATGCAGGTACTCTGCTTGGCTAGACTTCCTCAGTGCTTGCCTGTCCCCCAGACTGAAAGCCACCTCTATAGGCGTCAGGGATTGTAGCCTGACCAGCACTTACACATGGGAGACATCCAGTTGATTGAACAAATATATGAATATCACTGTATACTTAGGAGCAAGATGGGAAGAAGGTATATGGGGAATCATGAATCATTGAAGGACAGATGATTCCTCCTTTAATGGGCAGAGCAGAGAAAATTCTCCCTCCTTCCTGAAACCTCACTAAAGAGACTCACCAGGGCACAGCAGAGAGATGGTAGCAGTGCAATTTTGGAAAGGCAGATATGGGAGGCATGAACCTGAACTAAAGGGAGGCACAGAAACCTTTCCATTTCAGAAATCCGAGGAGCCAGGTTCTGAAGGGGCTGGAAACAGGACTACCTGACCGGTTATATAAGAACCCGAATTCATACATCCAGTGTGATTAGAACCTGGTGTGTTACTTCAGGCCCATGACCCTTCTCCAGCCTGGCTGAGGACCTCAGGTTTGTTTGTTTATTTTTTAAATATATTTTATTGATTTTTTACAGAGAGGAAGGGAGAGAGAGAGCTAGAAATGTCGATGAGAGAGTAACATCAACCAGCTGCCTCTTGCACACCCCCTACCGGGGATGTGCCCGCAACCAAGGTACATGCCTTTGACTGGAATCGAACCCAGGACCCTTCAGTCCACAGACCAACGCTCTACCACTGAGCTAAACCGGTTTCGGCTGGACCTCAGGTTTATTTATTGTAGAAAAGGCTGATGCAGTGATCTCTGGGCCAGTGGGCCTGGAGCATGGATGAGAGGAGGTTCCATGCTCAAGGCAGGATTGAGAGCCCAGGAAGGCAACTGAAAGCCCTTCTGAGGAAATGGCAGCATGAGGGGAAAGGGAGCGAGTAAGACACCTGAAGTCTTCATCTTTGACATTCAGTCGCCATTAACACCTAAAACTGATGAGTTCACAAAAGCGTATAATTTAGCAACACGAAACTAAATTTCCTAAGAAACTGGAGGATGGGGAGTCATCGCCTTTTGAAAGCAGGAAAATAAGGGGTGAGGGTGCCATGGGAATGCCTTTTGTTTGTTTCTATACTTTCTACAATATTTGACCTTTTTATTTTTTAAATATATTTTTATTGATTTCAGAGAGGGAGGGAGAGAGAAACATCAATGATGAGAAAGAATCATTGGTTGTCTAGCTCCTGCAACTCCCGAATGGGACGTAACCAGAATTGAACCCTGACCTCCTTGTTCATAGGTCAACATTCAACCACGAAGCCTTGCCGACCCAACAATTTTGACCTTTTAAATGAGGCACTTAAAAATCACAGAAAAAAGAAAAGGATCTTACAAGCCAGTAGATACTTGGAAGGAGAAAGATAAAAGGGAGAAATTGCCCAAATGACAAACACCCTAACAGGGAAGGGTGGAGGTGGGAAAAGAGAACAGCCATGAGCTCCAGAAATGACAGCAAAGAAAATAGCGCAGGGCAGGATATTGCCACAACCTGAACAGAACACCCTTTTTGGAGTTAGGATGGTGGTGCAACTTGAAGCATTTGCTTTAAGCTCTGTCAGAGTCCTCATCAGCTAATGGACATAGTTTTCAAGTCCCAGGGACAGTGAGCAGAGTACATGACTTAACACACAATGTAAACAGCACAAAGTACTAGAAAGTGAGAGGGGAAACCCCAAGTCCTTCCCAAAAGCTGTGATGAGCAC